ATCCATTGTAAGCATTTGAAGTAGCTTAAAATCCTTTTGACTTTAATATAACTAACTTTTTTTTTTTAACTTAATAGCCATCACATAAGGGGGCATACAAGCCCTCTATGTGAAAGCATACTAGTGCTAACAGGTACCCTTAGCTAACAACTAAACCTGGCGGAGAGCAGTTATTACTTTCACTCATCACTGGCTGGACAACTCCCTTTCTGGTCCCTCCCACATGGAAAGTACAAAGTATCCCCAATTTGTAAACAAAGTAACTGTTCATTATTTGCATTGTTCTAAGTAAATGTTAGCATATTCTTGAAATAGTTTCACCTAATCCAGACAGACAATTAGCAGCTAAATTGTTAATAAAGCAATGCTTATACCTGGCTATGTTTGTCTCAAAACACTCCATCAGTCTCAGATAGAAAAAGGGAAATAGTGTTTTTCATGTCATACATACAATATTTGGTGTGACTACCCTTTGGCTTCAATCCAGCATCAAATCTTACACTTGCACACCGTCAGGGATTTGTAGGATTAGAGTCAGGCGTATGATTAACCAAATATACCAAAAGCAGGTGCTAATCATCAATTTCATATGTCGGTTGAAACAATCTTTAACTGAAACAGAAGTGTGAGGCTTCAAACTGGGTGAAGGCCGTTTCATGTCACAGGTCATACACCATGGTAAGACTGAGCACAGCAACAGGACACAAGGAGGGGAATTGATCAAATCTGGAGTAGTTGCCCATGGCAATCAATCAGCTTCTATCCTTCATTTTGAAATCATAACTGAACAAACTGGAGAGAAGCCGATTGGTTGCCATGCACATCTGCTCCTGTTTTGATAAACTCTCCTCAAGGTAGTTATATTGCATCAACAAGGTCTCTCCAGGGAAAAGATTTCAAAGCGGACAGGGGATCCAAGAGATGCTGTTCAAGCTCTTTTGAAAAAAAGAAAAATTGGGCAACGTTGAGGACCGTAGACGAAGTGGTCGGCCAAGGAAGCAATGCAATGAAAGACACATCATGCATACTTCCCTTCAACAACGGAAGATGTCCAGCAGTACCATCAGCACCGAACTGGCAGAAACCAGATACAACCATCTACTGTCCTGAGAAGTCTGGCCAGAAGTGGTCTTCATGGAAAAATTGTGGCCAAATAGCCATCCCCTAGCCCTCTCCTCCATGCTGGGAGGAGGGTACAGCAAGCAGTGGGCGGGTGCAATAGGCAGCCTGCTGTTAGCTATTACAATTTTAAATAGCCAATAGCAGGCTGGCTATTGCACGCACCCACCCACTGCTTGCTGTATTTACATACAGCTGCCGTTTGCAGAATCTTGCCACTAGCAGCTGTCCTTTCCTGGCTGAAGCTATTTGAGCACCATGTGCTTACAATACAATTATTATTTTTTTTAACCAGTTGTTGACATCCGCGGTGTTAAACCCCCTTCCCATCCAGGCCATTTTTCAGTATTCAGCGCTGCGGTACTTTGACATTTATTCCGTCATGCAACGCTGTACTGAAATTAATTTTATACCATTTTTTAGGGACAGATAGAGCTTTCTTTTGGTGGTATTTATTCACCACTGGGGGTTTTATTTTTTACTATATTAAGGAACAATTACCGAAATTTTTCAAAAAAAAAAAAAACTGTTTCCCCTATATTAAATGATAAAACATTTATTATTACCCAATTTTTCGGTAAAACATAAAAGACGGGGTCACGCCGGGTAAAAAGACACCAAACATGTCAAGCCTTAAAATTGCGTGCGCGCGCGAAACCTCAAAAAACGAAGCTGGCCGAACGAGCACATATAGACGATCGGCGGGCTATGGAGCCGCCGACCGTCTATATGTGAAACACCCGGTAACGGGTGTTTGCATTGGCCGGGTCTCTTCAGCCCGTGCGCGCCCGCTAGGGGGCACGAGCGAGCAGAAAAAAATGCCGTCTGGAGACGGCAACCCACCAATGCTGCAGTGCCGTCCGTCTTTTTACAACGGGCGGACGGCAAGTGGTTAAAAAAAAGTAATTTTCGGTCTGACAAATTCTACTGCGGAAGGTACGTTGCGGTGCCATTCATACCAATGGCTCTCCAAACGCGCCTACCATCCACAGTGTGATCGCCCGGTGCACACCAGTGCCGTGCCATTGCAACATACAGTTTTATTCTGAAGTAAATGTTATGTTTGTAACACTGCATTTGTGTATGTTATTTTAAATTAAGGATGGCATTTTTTTCTTTATCGATTAAATTGGAAGAAAAAAATAAATTAAAATACCAGCCAACTAATCAATTATGAAAATAACACAAAAGAACAAATGGGGCTTTCAGGGTGCCAAAGAAAAAAACTTTGCATAAAATCTCATGTCTGAATAAAAGACTAATAATTTATAGATATTAAAACCAATAGTGCACATATTTATTAACTAGCTACATCAACAATGTCCTTATCTTCACAGGTATCACAAACCTCACACAGGTATCCATGCAGAAAGGCACTCATGTGCACCGTAAGAAAAGAGGTGCTGGGTATCACTGGGGTGGTCAAAAGGAAATATACACCATCTAAAAACAATAAATATGTGCACTATTGGTTTTAAGATTTTAATATGTATAAACAAAAACACAGCCTTTTATTCAGACATGTTTGTTGAAAAATCTTTGGCACCCTGAAAGCTCCATTTATTGTTCTTTTGTGTTGTTATAATTCTAGGGGTGTGGTGCCACACTCTCACCTCCATCTCTGCAATTTACACGGTTTAGAATATGAAAATATATATATATACACACACACATATATATCTTGCTCAATATTAAGTAGGTCCCCTTTTGCCACCAAAACAGCCCGACCCATCGAGGTATGGACTCCTCTAGATCTCTGAAGGTATGCCGTGGTATCTGGCACCAAGCTGTCAGTAGCAGATCCTTTGAGTCCTGTAAGTTGTGAGATGAGGCCTCCATGGAACAGACTTGTTTTTCCATCACATCCCACAGATGCTCGATTGGATTAAGATCTGGATGCTCGATTGGATTAAGATCTGGATGCTAAATCAACACCTCAAATTCGTTGTTGTGTTCCTCAAACCATTCTTGGTCAGCAACAATGTTTAGGTAGGTGATACGTAACATCCACATGAATGGCAGGACCCGAAGTTTCCCAGCAGAACACTGCCCAAAGCATCACATTGCCTCCGCCGGCTTGCCTTCTTCCCACAGTCCATACTGGTGCCATCTCTACCCCAGGTAAGTGGAAAACACGTGGTTTGTCTCCATTCTCTTCCCCCCCCCCCCCCCAGCCCTACAAATTAAAAAGGGCAGCTGCTCATGTCTGTATACTTTCACAGTGCAGCAACTTTAACTTGGGATGTCGCAGTGGTGCTGCTTGCCCAGCGCGCACACAGAGGTCAATGGGACAAGGCCACAACCATCAAGGAAGCCAACAGCAAAGGAACTCAATCTACCGTTGTGTACAAACCGGGCCAAACCCACTCCTGACATGGCAACACACATCCTATTCCAGAACACACTTGCCGCTTCGCAGCTTTATGCCTAAACTGTTACTCCAGAGATCTATATTTATCATTGCCCCTAGCCAAAGGGATTTCTACTAGGGATGCACAGATACCGATACCAGTATTCCGATACTTGTTATCCGTTCTGCTACAGGGGGATTTTCACCAGTACAAGTACTCATGAAAACGCCCTGTATCAGCACAAATACTTTACATTTTGTTAATAGATCCGGCTGCCTGAGGTCCTGCGCTTCCTGGGGACCTCAGGCAGCCTGCTGGGGACCTCGCGGCCGCTGTCTTAGACAGCAGAGATCCGGCTGCACATCTCCTTACCGCAGCGACCGGCGCAGCCCGCGAGAGCCCCGCACCCACCCGTGCAGCCCTGGAGAGACTGCGCACAGCCTCCTAAGCAACACAGTATGTAGCTTCATATTATTCTGCATTGCTGTATAATGCATTGCTGGGATTCGTAGTCCTCTAGAGCCAGTGCCTTTCTGCATTGCTGGGATTTGTAGTTCCTGTATATACATAGCAGTGAGTGCTATACAAGCCAAACATGGTCTTTGACGCAAAAATGGCTTCTGTCTGGAATATTTTCAATCTGAGTCAGCATAACATATTGCAGTCCCAGCAATCAATCTGCATCCAGCCGCCTCTGACTACAGCAAAGTAAATTGTGATTCCGAGTTAAAGTGTATCTCTATTTTTTTTAAGGGTTAAATCCGCATCAGGTCTTTGTTGCTGAGGAGATCCTGCTGCTGTAAGAGATATTTAAAAAAAAATGACTGTGTTGTGCCTCCAGGAGAGGAATGAAGGGAAACCTGCCCAAAAGGGAAAGAAAAAAAATCCCTGGGGGTTATAACCATTCCCTGTTACAGTGGTCCCCACATTGTGACCCATGCTTGCCCTTAAACACCGACTTACGGGTCACCAGGGCGGTCGGCCACAGACACCGACCCGCAGGGCACCCAGCCACAGATACCAACCCGCGGGGCACCAGCCATGTCACAGACAACAATGGGCATTATTCCTTCCACAGACAACATGTGGCATTATTTCCCTTCCCACTAACCACAGGCTTTTATGCCCACTCATGAACCCTGGGGCATTATTTTTACTCCTATTGTCTAGACTACAGCATTTTATACTCCCACTGGCCACACTAACAGCCAATAAGACTCTTTGGCTGTTAGGCAAGATGGCAGCTCCCAGAAAATCACCATGGCCACGGGAAACCTCAGAAGTGCACATGGGACAACCCTGGCTTATTATAACACTGTTATTTGTAACACAATAACTGGTGACAGGTTCTCTTGGTGTTGCTGTCCTACAAGTTCCAGCATGCCTTACCAGTTTCTCAAGGCTTGGCCTGTTTCCTCAGCAGCTGGAGGGCCCAGGCTGGTCCTCGCAAGGAAAATACGGAGCTTCTGTGAGGGAGAATACAACAATGGAGGCCTCGGCGAAGCCTTTGCCACGAATGGCAGCCATTACCTGCTTGGATTTGGCCTGCGCAGCAGTCGGGCCCTTCTTCCTCAGGACGGTTACGGTGTCCCAATCGCTTTCAGCCATATCTGCTCTCTTCACTGCTCCAGACGTTACACTGATGACCAGACGTGCCAAACCAACGCTAACTGTCTCCGCTCCGCCCACCGAGCGCTCTCATTCATCCACATCCCCGTCAGTCACCGCTGCGCGGCCACCGATTGGCTCTCTACCACCCTCACCTCCATTGGCAGAGGCCCGAGGAAAGATCTGGAAGGCAGGGGCTCGGTATCACAGAGAACAGCGATTGGGGCTTGCCCCGCAGTACGCCTCTTTTGATTGGCCAGCCGATTCGGGATTGCTGATTGGCAGTGGAACAAAGCCTTGCCCATTTGGAGTAGAAGCTGTTCATTGGCCGGGGGGTCTGAGTGGAAATCCCGTGACTCGTCCGGGCTGATGTAACAAAATGTAAACATGAAAGTAACCCTCTACGCGCCATAGCGCACCCACTGCCTGGTGACGGTCACAGGCACCGCTCAAGTGACTCGGTGAGCTGGGAAGTAGTGCCAGGCTGAAGTTCCCAGGCCGTTGGCACTTTCGATAGAAAAATAAACCAGGATCACACTAATCCAGCACGTTATTAATCTCAGTTGCCCCACTCAATATGGCCGCCGCTTGAGTGGGGCACCTGAGATTAATAACGTGCTGGATTAGTGTGATCCTATTTCATTTTCATACTTCATTGCTGTGGTCTATGTGTATAGGGCAATGCCGTGGCTGCCGCTCGTGCAGAAGAGCTTTCTTGGCCAAACCTCTTAGTTCTAATTAAACCGGAAGTCAGGCAGTTGGAGAACTCGATAAATTGGAACTTTAGATAGAACACCGGCCACTAGAGGGGGCGCTGTGTCCTAAGCCTGTTTATCCAGGAGGCTGCTGGAGTGTTTGAAGGTGAACAACAAGACCCAGCTGGTGAAGGAGGACATGACGATGATGGTGCTGCTGCCCCCTGCCTGGAGGATTCTGAGAGCCACAGCTCCCCTGACCATAAGTAAGTCACATCTCTGCATATGCTTCAGATCATTGCCCTGCAGGGCCTGTGCACACGGTACATATGTCCCTAGAAATGTCCTTGGCGTCTATTTGTGGCTCTAGACAGACTCTTTCCTGCAGTGTGTAATAGCAGAACTGTTCTGTCACCTGGTAACATATTTCATTAATTGGGAGGGGCTACTAATACCCTAATGAGCTGATTGGTTAAAACCAGACACATGTTCTAATGTGCCTGCCCTGCTTTACCGTCATTGACAATCAGTGGAAGGGGGCTGTATGAATGCCCACCGTTGCCTTGCATGCTGAGAAGCAGTGACTACACACCACTCCTAATTTAAATTGTTACAGCCAAACGTTTTCCTTAGTATTGTGGTGAGTAGGACCTCTGGAAGGTTTTTGGTTACTGTGTCTCATTAGGGAAATGTTACTTTACTTCCTGTCCCGGAGACACAACAGGAAGTGAAGGAAAATCTCACCAAAGCGAAATCACTTGTTAGGCTGGTGTCCCTACTGGAAGATTTCCCGTCATTTTCTGTTCCAGTGACAAGTGTAAGGCTCCATTCACGCTTGCCAAACAAGCTTTGTGCATTTTTGGATGAGTGTCTTGCTTGTCACATTTGGGGTGCCATTAACCGTTCATGCGGTAAATGTGAATGGGGCCTAAAAGTTTTGGAGTTCTCGTCACTAGGATGCATAGTGGGAATCTCGCTAACGGGGGACACAGACAGACAGCAATAAAAACAGAAGTTCTAACTGTTCCCTACTCTGACACTAAACAAAAAGTTGACTCAGAGAAGTTGAAGACACAACAGGCAGGCAGTAAGCATTTTCTTATGGAGAGGTCATTTATGGCCACTTCCATGTCTTTCGCATGACAGGTTTGCTTTATAGCCCAGCTCCATCATGTCCCCTGCAGTACCTCTGCCCAGCCACCAGATGCTGCCAAAATGACATCTAGCATCATTCAACCCACTTCCTGTCAGCCCAGGCTGTCATGGACACGCCCCTGGGGGTGTGTCATCCCACTGGTACTCTTGGTCAGCACCGTGCTCACACTGTCCTGAAGGTAGGATCCCCCCAGCATCACCTAAGAAGGACCCATGATGTTGGTGGACTGTCCAGAAGAAGTAGCGGGGAGGACTTCAGTGAGAGGGAGGAGCACAGAGTGTAGGGGAATGCCTTTTTCTGCCTGTATAATGTGAACTTTTTTTCTCTGCAGGACTCCAGAAGCAGTTTAGCCAGTCATTTAATATCGTCACAGAGGAGCAGGAGGGTGATGGTAAATTAGGTATTGATGGGCCTGGACCTGGTATATTGTATCCTAATCATATTCCCACCAACACAATGCAAAAACTGTTGCTGTCAGCTGGCTCTGCAGTGATGTCATTGTATGATCCATATAGACACGGTAAGTACCTTGATTGTGCCCTTCGCAGATAGCGAGTGAGCCATTGCAGAGTCTGCTAAGGCAGGGGTGGCCAAACTGCGGCCCTCCAGCTGTGGTGGAACTACGAATCCCATGAGGCTTTGCAAGATTCTCAGACATGACTCCCGGAGAGAGATGCTTCATGGGATTTGTAGTTCCACCACAGCCGGAGGGCTGGAGTTTGGCCATCCCTGTGCTAAAGGGTCATTCATACCTCTGCATTGCCCTGTGTTTTGGTGCCATTCTTCTGTATGGGGATACCGATGAGAGGCGCTGTGATCTTTGATTGTAAACGTCCCGTGGTTGCTATATGGGTTTTATTTTGTGGGGGCTCGATTGCTTGGTAGTGGCTGCACTTCCACCTGCAGGGACCCTACGGAGGGCAGGAGGTAGCCCCGGAAAAGTTGATTAGAACAAAGAAAAGGAGGAACCACCAAACGAAGAAAGGAATAAAAACATCAAAGTACCAACACATTTCGGGGCAAGCACAGACCCACTTCATCAGATGTAATTCAAAAGTGGAATCCCTTGGGGAATGGTTACAATAATAGTGACCACAAATATAAGGGCACATGCAGCAGTCCACAATTGGGAGGCTGTATGGAACTTTTGTCATTGACACGTTTTAGTGCCTTGTGGTTTGTTAAAATGTCACTAGCAGTGTCTGTAAGTGCCTTGTGCATGAAAACACATGGGGGGATTTATGAAAACTGGAGCAGAGGTGCATGCCAACCAATCAGCTTCTCTCTTCAGTTTGTTAAGTTAAGATTTCAAAATAAAACAGAGAAGCTGATTGGTTACCATGCACATCTGCTCCAGATTCTGTCTGCTCCAGTTTTGATAAATTCCCCTCACATTACCTAGAAATAAGTGGTAATGTAAGTGTATTGCAAGTTTTATGTTCATTATGCAAAAAGAAAGCAGAACTCCTCTGCACAGTTCCTACCTGGTTCTGTATCCTTTAAATATGAAGACTGCACCAAAAACAGTCCACAGTGTATTAAAAAATGTCAAATGTACATTCAAATGTGTGTTAAAACGCACTTCTTTTCCAAAACAGAGGTGTGCCTGCACCTTAAAGTATGGCCACTTTATAGTTGCTTGTTGCATCAAAATGCAGAATATTGATTTAGGGTTATAGGGATTTTTTAAGGACCATTATCTTTAATATTAAATGAAAATGAACTGATCAGACTTGGGGAGGACTGGTGAGAATAATGGTGGGTCATGGTCCTCTGGCACCCAAGGCAGGGATGCCAAAGTGCACCCTCCCCTCCAAGCTCTTTAATTCAGTGCTACAAAAACTAATACAAATTTAAAATGGTAAAAACCTTTTTTTAATTTTTTTTAAAAAGCTAAGAGAAAGGAATGTATGAGTTAATAAAAATAACAAGGGTTAACTAACACTTTCACTACCAATTTTAGGGTTCCAAAAAGGAATTGGGATTAACTACAACTTTTTCTCTGTGATCTTGTCCATTTTATAAAGGAGCTGGAACAAACCATTTTTTTTTTTTTTTTTTTTTACAATTTGGTGTTTCAAATCCAAACAAATACAAATGTAAAGAGCTTACCTACAGTACAAACATACAGCAAAAAATATATAAACTAAGAAGGGAATGCACAAGTCAATACAAATAATTAGGGTTCACTAAGGGTTAATAAGGGGCTACAATGTTGTCCTAGAAAAGGTTTTTTTTTTTTTTTTTCATTTAAAGTGACATTAAAGTAAAAAAAAAATGTTGTTCCCTCCCCCCAATGTTAATGCCAGCACTTACCTAAAATGATGTTTCTTAATCCGATCTTCTTTCCTGTTTTCATCTGTCTCTCCAGTGCTGCGGCGGGTCTCCGATCCAGCACTGACTCCTCTGAGCTTGCTAGCACTTCCTGTCCATAAAATGAAAGGTTGAGTGTTCTGCGCTATGAAACAGACCCCAAGGGGGAGATTTCACAGAGAGTAAGGGTTAACCGCAAGCTGCTGAAACTAAGGCCAGATAAGCCTCACAAAATGGTTTTAGAATAGTGAGCGCTATGGGTCTCCTGGAGTGAAGTGAGAATCCAACAATGACTTATTAAATAAGTGGTATAAAAATATATATGAATATCTCTAAGTGAACATCTTATAATGTGAAATAAAAATTGCTAAAGTGATATGTGAATAAACAAAACAAAAATCCACAATGTAAATCGACTAATAAAATTGCTTAAATATAAATAAACAAATAAATCTTCAATAAACCGTGTGTCCGTGATTTTTTTCTCTGATTTTTCTGTATTACAGTGTACATATAACTGCATCTATCATCATCTGTGATGTGCTGATAGATATGCAGTGGTGTACCATAAACGTGTCCTAAACTTTGAGGTTAAATAGTGTCCAAAAGTACTCCAATCTAAAAGAGGCAAAAGCTTGAATGTGTATATCCAAGATGATCGTATCCTGGGGGATGATGTGTCGGAGAAGTGATGGGTCCCCGTAGGGCTTACACTCACCAGATGCCGGGAGGGAGTCAGCTTTCTCTTCCACCGTGGTGGCTGAAAGGAGATGGTCTTTGCTCCGTCCTTCCGTGGGATCCTGCAGTATACTTTCGGTCAGGAAGCAGGAACTCACAGGAGACACAAGACACAAAGCAGGTGAATGTCACTT